CACTCACAAAAATGATCTCCAAACCCAACGTCACTACCACCATTATCTCACCACTACCATCGTCTATATCAACAATCACTACAACCACTTCCTCAAATCCACCATCTCTTTCACCTCTACCACACCAAACCACAACCATCAAAACCACACTAAACAAATGAAAGACAAAATAAAGGTGACAGGAAAAATATATCGTACCAATGAAAATAGAGAAACACATATGCACAGGACAAGGAAAAAGGATTGCGCCTATGCAAGGAGCAGTGGCATCATTATTGCACCATAAAGAGTCATCGAAGGGGTGCGAAGAAGCAAATATGATGGAGAGGGGGCTACATGTGAAATGAAGCGGCAACAATGATGGTTAGTTTTGAAAATGAATTAGAGTTTGTGGGATGGGTGGAGTGGATGTGGTAGATTAATTTAATTTAATAATATTATTATTACTACGATTAAAAAGTTGATTTATAATCTGATTTTTGAATTAGTCCCTGTTTGTTTCTCATTTTTAAGTAAGAATGTATTTTGAAATTGTGAATTGATGAAGAATGTGTGGTTGAGAATTAAGAAAATGTTTTAATTTTGCGTGTAATATTATTTTATTGAAAAATGTGTGATTAAAAAGAAGAGATAAAAATGGATACAAACAATGGCTAAATAAGTTGTAAATCTAATCTTGAAGTGAGAAGTTAACAATCATGGCGTCACTGCTTCAACGTGAAGAGTCGTCAAAGGGACTACGAAGGAGGAGATCGAATGAAGAGACACGGTCACACGGGGTGTGAAATAATGTAGCAATGACGATGAATAGTTTTTTTTTTTTTTTAAATGAATTAGGGTTTGTGGGGGTGAGGGGAGTGGAGGTTCTAGATTAATTTAATTTAATGATATTATTACTAATATTAAAAAGTTGAATTATGACTTGATTATTGAATAAATAAGTTGTAAATCTGATGTTAAATTAAAAATCATGTAATTTTCACTTAAACTAATTACTTATAAGGCCCATCGGGGAAAAAACCTCGTAAGCCCATGTATAAGCATGTGTAATATGCCTGCTTTATTCTTATCCATAGATCAAAGATTTTCTTGGTATTGCGCTAAAAATTGGGGGAGAAGCAAAAAGGGTGACATTCATCACTTGGCGCCAATTTATCTTGTGTTGCAGTGATTTCTAGCCAAGTTCTTCATCGACAAAATTCGAAGGTAGTATCAGAAAGGGTTTATGTTGAAATCGCACTCCCCGATTTTAATTATTTAATTTCAACTCAACTCCTTATAATCTATTTACTTTCCCAAATTTTTGGTTTCTTGATGGTAATCTTCCTCCTCTAGCAACAATGAGTTTTTTGACAACATTTTTCTTCAATTGTTATGCCGTTGTTTATGATTTTCTCCTCGCCTTTAAAACTGGCCGCCCTCAAGTTTAATAGGTGAAATACCCAGGACCAAAATCCAGTGAGTGCAGTTGCCCCACTAGACCAAAGGTGGCTCTGCCCCTGTAATTAATATGATGTATCTTTCTAGACTACTAGTAATTGCCTTCCATCTTCGGTTGATAGAATCACAGAGTAGGTGGAATATTAGGAGATGCCACGTCTAGATTTCAATCTCCTTGTAGAGGTGGATGTAGAATGATATTCATTACATCACTGCCATAGCTTTGACTCACATGCCATTGGAGCTTAGAGTAATATTTATTGTTTAACTTGAAATTCAGTTCTTTTTTGAGATTCTGTGTGCAATTATTATTTTTTGCATTGGGTGATTTTCAATTTCCCCCTAGAGTTTGGATCGAGTTACATGGCTATGATAATATCCCTTTTTAATTTTGATATATATTAGAGAGAAGAACATCGTTAGGATAAAACAGTCCAATTGATGTTTAAGAAAAATATTATCTTGATGGATTTTACGGGAATTATTATTATTATTATTTTTATAGTATGACTTGTCTCGCAATTGCATAAGATGCATGAATCGAGCACAAGAAACTGAATGGTTCTCTCCACAGTGATGTACCCAATCAAGTGAGATTGTGCTGCAATAATCAAGAGTCGAGTTCATTTTTACATTTAATAAGTTGGACAGGCGCTAGATGGACTTCTTTCATTTTTAGAAGATGATTTATCATTATCTCTTGAATTTGGTTTTATTTGCATGTATGATGTATCTTTCCAGACTTCTAGTAACTGACGTGCATCTTCGGTTGATAGAATAACAGGGTAGGTGGATATATTAGCAGATACCATGTCTAGTTTCCAATGTTCTTGTAGAGGTGGATGATGTTTGTCTTCAGAATGATATTCATTAACATCATTTCTTTTGTTGACATGCCTTTGGAGCTTGGAATCTTGTCCCTTTAGATCATAGTAATATCTGAAGTCGCCATACCTTTATTTCATTAATCCAGTGGCATATTGCATACAAATCAATTTGAAAATTGTTGGAATTGAGGTATAAAGCAGGCCTCTTGCTCTGCTCCCTCTGCTCCGAGAACATGTAGAAAATGGAAGCATGGCAATGTTGAGACGTGTGTAGGGTAAAACGAAGAAATGCTATAGGAATTCAGATATCCCTGTTGCATAAATGTTATAGTTGACCATATCAAACTTACCGTCAGTTATATTTAGTATGTATCAATATAGGTGCTTGTTCAGAAAAACTGTTGCAATGTCAAGCAGGATCATCTTCTTAATCTTACTTTTGTTGTATCTTATTGGGTATATCATATCTATTCATGTATTTATGTTTTTGTTCTTCTTTGGTCTTCCGTCAGTAAAGTGCTATCCACGAATTGATTGAGAAATGGACGATCAGAAAATGCTGCCAACAAATGATACCTTGGTTAGTAAGCCAAGAAAAAAGAAACCTTCAACAAAAGTAATGCTTAATGCACCTGGGGATAATCGGAAAAGATTTCAAGACGCACAACCCGGTTCTAGCCAGAAAGGGCAGATGGCCTCCAGAAAAGTACATATTAATAATGTTTCCCCATTGTTCCAACAACAAGAGCGTTCTGCCTCAGATTCATTGCCAGACTCTTCTACTTCTGGAAATGAATATCGGGCATTGAGGCGAAAATATTTGCTACTGGAAGAGGAAAGCTTTGGATTGGGATCAGAGTTGAAAGAGGTTGAAGACGATATTATGGCCCTTGAAAAGGAGAAGCTATCTTTGCTGGATGAGCTTGTTGTCTTGGAAGGCCTAATTGATCCTTCGGATATTCAGCATCAGGGCTAAAGATTGCGATGACTAATCATTATATGCTATATAAGGATGTGTGCTATGCGTTACTCGACCGGATCGGAACTATAAAGGACAAGTATTTTAACTTTTTTTATCTTTCTGTTTAGTACTGTGCAATGTCTGATCAAGCAAGCTACGAGTTGAATAATGTAAACCCTTGCTCCTGTAAGCATGAAAATATGGGAATTTTATGTTGATAATCTAAGTTATGCAGTGTGATTCTTTGCTATAGATTTTGTCAAACCATTTTACAAGCAATGTTATTCTAGTTTGGTATTCAACTAGTTGAAGTCATCTTTAATTTAGATTATCTGTGAAGTCACTTGTATATTGAATTTCATTGAAATTGCAACTATATACGTCTGTGTAGGTGCTGTAAGATCCATTGAATTTTGAGCTCTTCTGACACATTAGACATTGAACATACCATCTAGACGACATTTATTCGCCGAGTTTTCCAGTATTTTAAAATTGCAGGAATTTATATCGTGTTGAAAAACCCGAACACCAACCAATGAATAAAGGAATGGTCCAAAAATATGTATTCAATACTTTAATATAGGTTTATCTGACAAAAATGATTCTAATGTCTAGACATGGATACCAATCTACACTGGGACTTGAACATTGCACATTCGTTCTCGTGTTCTTCTATCTGTGTCCCCATTTTAGTACTCCAAGATCATATACCTCAGGGTGTAATGTTGCTTATATCATTAATCCGGACCCAGACCTGGACCTGGCAACCCGTACAACCAGTGGGGTGGTTACCCGAGACTTGTTACTTCTCCATGACAAGGATCCGAAAACATAATCTTTTGATGGAGCAGTCACCTTGAAATTTATAGTGAAGTTGATCTTCTGCCCATACCTATTGAAGATCAGTCGCTTGGGTATTACAGTGACATTGATCCCCGTTGGAGTAAACACGACAGATTTGTAAATGCTCCTTGGCCTCCCGACATTTGTCACTGTACGAGTGATTGAAATAGACTTCCTCAGATTTGGTACTGTGAGGGATGGATAATTGAGTTCAGATGCCGTTGCAAAAGATTGATTACAAGTGCTGTTGTCTCCTGTGATCAAATGCACTGATTGCTCATCATAACCAATTGAACAAAGAAAGGCTTTATAATCTGTGGGTGCTGCATCATATATGAGACCAGGATCAAGAACTTTCCTTGGGTTCAGAAAGCCAGAACCTAAATCAAAAGCATTCGCTCTTCGTCCATCTGGGCCTGATGTAATAGGTTTCCGATGCTTGTCTAATACAGTAGCTGCATCAAACTTCACATTTAGCTATGATGTAAATATACATGATAGAAGTTATGTCGATTTTAAACTTATCAGTTTACCAGTTGTCATAATGGCTGATTTGATTGCAGATGGAGACCAAGATGGATGCACGGCTTTTATCAAGGCTACAATTCCTGTTACGTGTGGACAAGCCATGGAAGTTCCAGAGAGTACGTTGAACTTCACTTTGTTAGTTGCCGGTGACCATGCTGCCAGGATATTCAATCCAGGTGCTGTGACGTCGGGCTAAAAACATACTCAAACAAGAAGAATAATGCACGTCAGGTATCTCAATTGGTTTGAGAAGATAAAACTCAGCAGTGGAAAAATGTTCAACAAGAAAAGTACAAATGAAATTCCAGTGAATCTATGACCTGCAGATATTATTTAATAACAGTTTCAAGTTCAATAAGGAGCAGACAAAGCAGAAGGAAACACAACAGAGAAGTTCGAGAAAATATAGAGAAAAGAGTAATATGTAATAAAAAGATAAACCCATTTTTTATACTAAATTACCTTGAGAATTTCAGGGGTTAAGATACTGGGACCTTTGGAAGAAAATTGTGTAACACGAGGAGCAGCTTGGAATCCGAATACAGTCCTGGCAGATAAAATCCTTGATGTAGGATTGCTGTCCATGTGAAAGACTCAGTGACAAGGGAGAGAATAGAATCAAAGAAAACACACAGAAAAAATTCTTGCCAACAACTGAAGTGACAAACCTTGTATTATTTATGTAAGTTAGGATCCTATGTCCTATTTTTTTGCCAACAATTGCTGCTGGGATTACGAAAGGAATGGCGACATCTCTATCTGTTTCATCTATAAGAACCATCCCAACTCCTCCAGCTTCTTTTACTACCGCACTTTTTGCCAGCTTCGACTCTGCTGAGCTCCCAGCATGCAGGCATACTAGAACATTACCTCTCACCTTTGTGATATTCAAAGAACTATCCAAGCAATAACTAAAGGGACAAACATGAGACAGGAAAGGGACATGAGATTTCCGTGTAGAATACATATATTCAGATTATACACAACTGCCTTCTGCTTCACCTGGATTGATAAGGAGTGAAGTACCCACCATAAGCTTCAGAAGCAGAGATGATCTTTGTCAAGGTGTTCACCTTAAGTAGACTCAGACTTTCACCCTATCCAATTATAGGAACCTTAGTAAGATCAACAATTATTATTATTATTATAGATGCAGACATAAACTGATTACCGAAAAGTGAGCTCTGTTTCCAAGTATGATGTCGGATATGAACTCCCTATCAGTTGAACTAGCAGCAACAGTGATCATCCAAGGAGCAAGATTTGTAGCAGAACCTGAACTTCCTTCATTTCCAACTGAAGCAACAACCACTATTCCGTGGCTAACAGCATGGAATGATCCCACAGAAATGGCATCACTGAAATAATCTCCCTGGGGAGCATCGGGACCCAAAGACACGGACATGATATGCACTCCATCTCTAATGGCGTCATCAAATGCAGCCAACAAGTCAGCATCATAGCAACCAGAGCTCCAGCAAGTCTTATATACTGCAATCCTAGCCTTTTGTGCCCCTCCTCGAGCTCCGCCAGATGCCAACCCCTTATAATTCATATTATTGACATAACGACCAGCAGCAGTTGAAGCTGTGTGACTGCCGTGACCAGAGCTGTCCCTCGGAGATTTGAACGATACGGTATTCCCCAATTCTTCCTCAGCTGCATAGCCATTGAGATAATATCTTGCACCAATCACTTTCCTATAGGAGGATACTTTAGCTGATATTGGTCCAAATTAAATGATCAACAGAAATTGTAATTGAAGTAGGACCATACTGTTTTTGACCTGTTGCAAGTTGAAGAGTTGAATGCTTCCCCTGATTGGCAATGTCCCTTCCATCCAGTTGGCACTGGAGGCATGTTGACATCACTAAAACTTGGGGACTCTGGCCAAATTCCTGCCATACATTGTCTTACGTGAAATTCTAATTATTTGGGAGAGAAAAAAATTAGCAAGTACATAGGGATAGCGTTTTGTAGTACTATGATGGTCCCCAAGAATTAACAAGTTAAATGTTACCTTTCTTGTTTTTGTTTTTAAAGGGAATATTGGAGTTCTATACATAGCAGTAGCACGGAGAAGAAGAGAAGTTCTGGGCAAATTGAATAGAATTATTACAAGAAAATGAGACAGTGGCATCATTTATAAACTGAGGTCAATTCTGAGTTATACACTTATACTAAAGTGGCTAAGTATGCTTTCATGGCATTGCATGTGGATTTTGCAAGCTGCAAATCTCTATCTACGAAACTTTTAATAACAACCTTTTAGAACCATTCATTTCCAATGTTATTACTAACCTCAATGTCATGGATAATGAAGATGGACTATTTATTGAAAGAAATTACTAAACTTCCGAAAACTCGTAAGGATTAGTTGCCATTGCCAAGCCATAAAAGAGAGAAAAGAAATCTAATAGAAGGGCAGATTATATGGACTCGTGTAAGATTTACTATATAACAGAATGTTTACAACAAAGAGAGACAAAGAAGTAAAGGAATATCTTCAATAATTCATTTTTTCCTTAATCACTTGCAATCAATGTCAAGAGCTAGTTTTATCAGCCATCAAATGATACTTTTTGTTAATAAATTAATTATGACATGACCTTTCAGTGACCTAATAATAAAAAAGTAACAAAATAGAGAAAGCTTCAAAAGAAATCACCTGTATCAATAAAGCCAATGATGACATTAACTTGATTCTTGGTGGAATAACCTGGGATTTCCATAGTTTCTTCACCAATTAAGCCCATGAAATCCCATGAATGAGTAGTGTGTAGCGTCCTCCTTTTGTTGGGAAAAACTGATATCACTCCTGGCATTTCTGGTTTGAATTTATCCAAGTATATTATAATTATTATCCTTTTATTATCCTTATATATTCAGAGTAATCTTAATTTTCTTTCAGGAGTACAGAATCCAAAATCATTCAATTTGTCAACATGGATGAGGTACAAGTAGCATTTATTCGCAAAAGAGAAGGACTTACTAGCCACTTCAGAGGCTTGTTCTTCAGACAACTTGGCTGCAAATCCTCTGAAACCATGTCTGTAACTATAAACATGAGAAGCCCTGGCTTCTTCATCGCTGCGCATTTATAGCAAATCATTAATTGACAAGCAGCAAAAATAACAACAGAAGAAAAATAAAATGAACCCTTTTGAAAAAGAATGATACAGTTCAATAAGTATCAAGAAAGAGACCTTCCCTTATGGACAGCAGTAAGCATTTGGTGGTTTGCCCTGAAAATCTCATCTGGGTCATCACTACCTTTGCTTCCCATATACACCACGTACAACTGGAACAAAAAAATTGCAACCAGACATCATATTTATACATAAAACAAATCATAATCCATTCACATACATGTATATATTACTGTTATGCAAAGGAAGCAATACCTCCGATGAAACTGATGGGCTAATCACTTCAAGAAAAACAAGAAGAAAAAGACTTAGCAGAACTCTATTTCTGGTATTTCTATATGAACCCATATCTTATTTCTTTGTCCAAAATCACAAGATTGCAGATAAGAAGATAAAAAAAGAATGATCTGAAATAAAGAGGAGAGAGAAAACTCAAAAAGACTACTCTCCTACCAGTGGAATATGTCGAGGAATTAGACTCTATATATACACACACAAAAATTGAATAGTGAGAACAAATTTTAATGGAGGGTTGAAATCCACTAACAAAGGGTAAAATGCTGAAACGGGAAGAGTGGTGATGTTAGGAAGAAGAAGATGATCTTTGCTTTTAACTGAACTAACCCACATCCGCCCCCGTTCCCATAATCCCATTACCCACTGAACACAATCCATCAGTTAAAATTATTCCATTTGGTACAATATCTGTAAGAATGCCATCATTTCTGATTCTGATGAAACAAAGAAATATGAATATAAGCAGGGACCTATGGGTTGTTAGCCCTTGTTTGAGAAGTTATTGTTGTTAGAATGTATTTTTGAATAGTGTAGTAATGAAAAATATATTGTTAAAAAATTTAAAAAAATGATTTATGTTTAATATTATTTTATTAAAAAATATGTGGTTAAAATGATATCAAATCACAATTTAATATATATATATATATTTTTTTTTTTTTTTTTTTTTTTAAATATGGCTCAAACATGTCCTTGATCTTATCAAAGGTGCTGCCCCCAACAATGAATTTCATAATCAAATTCTTATTAAAATATTTGAGGCGTGATATGATGTTACTTAGATTGAATAAAACTCTCGAACCGAATTGATCGAATCCGACCTGACTCGATTCTAACCGAACCGAGTGATTCTTTTTAAGATAAATACCCGAACATGTGTTTGAATTGAGACCGATGAGTTTGATTTGATTTGATTCTCGATTCTAGATCAAAAATAGAAGAACCAAATAAGAATTGATTCTCTCTAATTTTTTTAAAATTTTATTTATTGTAAATAGGTCAAATTATTATTATTTTTTAAAAATAAATTTGCTAGTTAGTTAATTTAGCTGAAATCCAAAAATATGATATTAATTTGTATTTTTAGTCCAAGTCAAATTTAATAAAATTGACATAAGTTTTACCCAAATATGTTACTCTACCGTAGTGTCATTTCTACCGTTTTGGAGAATCGAATTAAAGATCAACAATGTCTCTTTTAATTATTGTGAGCTCGTTATTTCCTCTTCTCGTGATTTTAACAATCAAATTTATGAAAAAACCCATAAAAGAGAGACTCAAAAAATATATAAGATTGAATTATGTTATTTTGTAAGAGCCAAAATTGAATATGTCATTAGTTAAATTAATATAGTTTTGTAAATATTAAAAAATTTAATTATTGTATGGAATTCGGGAACCAAATCGAGCTGAACTGAATCGAGTAGAATCGTACCCGAACGGTTTCATAATTAAATTGGACTCAACGATTCCACTTACTAAATACCTAAAAATTTTGAATCCGGTTCAATCTAACGAGAACAGAATCGAATCGTACTATATCCAGCCCTAGATGCTCCCGAATGTCTAATCTCGGGAAATTTTCACATTTTTTTCTTTTCCCGTTTGGCATCGTTATGATTTACGAGCAACTTTCAACGATGCTAATTCAAAGAATTGCGTGCAAGCAAGGACGACAAAATCACACGTTTTACACTTGGAATTTAGAAACTGATTTAAATACTAACAATTTGTCGGCTGTAATATTTTGTCCGTAGTTGGATATACTTCCGTAAGACCATCTCAAACACATTTCATCAAAATGATGAACTTTTACACCATATTTTATTTAGTCATTCACTCAATTTTTTTTCCTTTTTTAGCTCGCAACAGCTAATTTATTTAATTACATATTCTATTACTACTAAAATTGTTAAATTAAAAATTATATTTAATTAACTAAAATATTAAATTTATAATAAATTTTAAAAAAACATTTACTAAAAGTTTTGAATTCCAAAATGGATACAAATTTACGCGAGTTTTTTCGAAATGAACAAAGAAAGAATTATGCAAAAGAGAGCTCAACAACAAGGCCAAATTTTAATTCTTGCGGTCAATATTTTTATGGTCTGAAAGTGATCTATCATAATATTAAATTGTTGTCTTAATTTATGTTGTATTTTACGTTGTCGTATTGCTTCTTCTTTTTTTTTTTTTTTTTTTTTGTTTTTTTTTATTTTTAAATTTTATATTTTTTATTTTTTTTTTTTGTAGTTTTTTTTTTTTTTTTTTTTTTTTTTTGGTAATTTGTAATATGTAAATTTTAAATTTTTGAATTTTAGTTAGTGAAGTTTTTTAATTAGTTATTACTTCATTACAGTTTATTAAACATGTTAATAAAAATACTAATTAAATAAAACAAATATAAGTTAGATCAAGTCATTAAGCCCCATTTGAGCCATATTATTGTAAAAATAAGAATGAAAAATATAGTCATTATGGACCCCACACAAGAGATAAAAAGTCAAATATGGTGGTTTGATGTGATAAATAACAGTCATATTTTTCATTTTAATAAGAAAATAATGAAGCTCAAACAAGGCCTAAGTAATAAAATGATATAAAAGGAATTAAAATTTATTGTAGTATAAAATGAAGATCTAGTTGAGAAATAAATAAAACTGTATATATAGACACACCAAATGAAGTGCAATGTTCATTATTTTAGCTTGGTGTAAAAATTTGAAGTCCAATTCGAGCATATTTTCACACAAAATTGATATTTTAAAGGTTGAACCCCAACTTTAAGGATTCCCAACCGCCCCTGTCCTGGAGTATCGTGAGGGAGATAAATCGCAGGTTATGCCTCCAAGGGTACAGGGTAGAAGGTTACTTGTACACTTACACTTACCCAAGAGCCAAATTCATATTTCAGGATTCGAACCCTTGATGCGACAGCCTCACGTAAAGTTGGATTTTTCCACCCTCCCCTTTTACTACTTGGAGATGTGCCATGGGAGCACAAAATTGATATTTTATGTCATTTGAAGCTAGGTTGGAGATGCCGATGATAAGAAAGATATCGTTATTGAGATACTATATTATGTAATTAATATAGTATTACAATAAATGTTAAAATAATGACGTTTAACTGATTAAGTGAGAATTTTATAGTAAGGGTGACATTGAGTGGTTGAATCTAGGTTTTCAAATATTGGATCAGACTGCGTGCACCAGTTGAAAGTTTCATCTTGATACAAAATGTGTCTAATAAAACATCAATCAACGACATATAAAAATAGCTGAAAATTAAATAAAAATAATAAAACATGTTTAAATTAATTAAAAAACAAACATTGACATACTCTACGAGACATAATTAAAATGTACCATCAAAATAAAAACTAATAAATTAAAACTCCGGTAACTAATATGATGTAGAAAAAAAGAGTAGAATAAATATTTAAATACATGTCTCGTAAAACTTCGTCTCTTCAATGGAAACTCTATTAATATTTGATATTCCATCTTAAAATGTCAATTTCTTCAAGAAAAATAACTCAAATTCCAGTATGTTGATCTATATTTCGGACCGATATTGAATGTATCCCTTAACAAAAGTAAATAATATGAAATCAAAGAGAGACGCTTCAAGGACAATTAATAATTTAATAAAAATATCACCATAGTTAGACTAAAATTATTATGAGCCAACCAAACAAATAGGGACAAAGATGCTACTACCTCTTGATGTCTACTTGTAAAGATGAAGACTATCTTTAAATGTAAAGATATAAAAACTTCCCTTAAAAAGATAAAGAAGAAACCAAACTGCTCTACATGAATAAGAAGTTATATGGTAATGGTAGTCTTTCACCTAGCAAGTAATATTCGTTTTTGGTCGATCTAGACTAGAGAAAGATGCCCTTTACATGTAAGAAGATATATATTATTGATTCTTTAAACATCACTCATCGAAGGGTATATGTAGGGATGGCAATTTGAACCGTCAAAACTAAAAACCGCGATTAACCGAATCGAATGGGACGAAATAATCGAATCGATGGTGCAATGGGACGGATATGATTTTGATTTTAATGAACCGATTTGTGGTGATGCGGGTATGGTATTTACGTCGTCGAACCGAAACCGAACTGATTATATCTTTAAAAAAAAAAAAAAAAAAAAAAAAAAAACACACACACACACACACAAATTTGAATTGATTATTGGACTTTACACTACTTTTCTATCTAGACCAAAACAAAGTCCCCCCATTATATCTACCTGACTCAATCGGCCAGCCCATAATAATAGTATTAGTATGACAGTATATAAATGCAAACCGAAATACGAACCGTGCCGAACCGAAATACGAACCGAACCGAACCGAACCAATTTACGTGATTATGGTGCAGTTATGGTATGGTCAAAAAATTGGTGGTGCGGTTATAATTTTGGCCGAACCGACCCATATCCGAACCGTTGCCAACCCTAGGTGTATGTTGAATTCCCTTTTTGTAATACTATTAGAACAAAATCCGATCCACAATTATAGTTGATCCTCAATTATAACCTCTTCCATAAAATCAGTGATTCTTCACAATTATAGTCAGCTAGTTATACTATATATATTGTTACTATATTTACATATGTATCTTCGGTATATAAATTAACATCCTCACAGCATATTGGATGAGGCATTTCCTTTTCATGGTATTAGAGCCATAATCAGTCAAATCTTTACTCTTTTTCATGGTCGAATCCAACACCTCTATGCTTCCACGCAATACAATGGTTCACATGGTGACAATTAAACTCACCCCTACAAATTATCTCTTGTGGCGTCGCCAATTTTTTCCCTTGCTTGAAAGTCAAAATCTTATGGGCTTTTTCCAATATTAATTTAAGTATTTCCAATCCCTCGAGTATTTATGGAACATGCTTGAGTCTCACATCATACCATTATGTTCACAATTGTGTTCTTTATCCTATATGGTTAAACACAATTGTCCGACCGGTGAACAAAATATAAATGTTTGTCAAAATAGTTTTTATTTCCTAGCTAAATCCTTCAATTTTAAATCATCTGCTTTCCTAAATATTTCACATTAAACCGAATCAATCATAGTCATTGATAACACGTTAAAGTAGAAACATTGGAATAAAATTTCAAGAAATAGTCGAAAGTCATAAAGGTATATGTGGGGTTATATAAGCTTCATAGTCTCACACAATTAGGAAGCAAGAATCCATTTACTCATTTACTCCAATATTAGTCTTTAAGCACATGTGGTAGAAACACGTGCTACGATGTTTCTTCCTTTCTTAGGGCGTATGTTATATTCTTTATAAACAAATAACATCATACAGATCATAGTTCAAGTATTCTCCGATATCTAACTTGAGTTCCCTTTTGTTCATTCCTCTAGG